GTTGGATTTATCTCACTGTGGAATTACTGTAAAACCAATCGACGCTTTCGTTTTCTGCTCGCTCCACGGATTGATCATGTTTGCGTCTCGATCGGTATCGCTTTCTCCATGCCCCTTTCCGAAGAGATCCTCTCTTCGTTGTCTCTCTTTCCTCTCCCTCGCCTCCCCGGTGATCTTTTACCTCGATTTTCACCGCGTGGCATTGTGATCGGCCCGTTTTTCACCGCCGTGCAGATGTCGTCCTAATCAGCATCCGATCGGGGTCTAAGGGCCGCGCTCCACCACTCACCGAATGTGCAACATGAGGATGAACCTTTCGCTAGAACATGCAAAGATACACCGACATGATTTTTTTTGTTTTGGTGCATTGCATGTGGTTGAGTGGTGGAGGAGCGAGGCCCAAAGGCCATACTCACACTGGACGCAAATATCAGAAAAAATCGTGACGATTGCTATCGCTTTTGTGATATTTGCGTCTGCTGCTGGTCACACGCTTTTGTGATATTTGCGAAACTTCCCGTGGGTCCGTGGGGACATCCGTTAAAATTGGAACGATACAGTGAAGGGTAAATGAGCAAATGGCCCCTGCGCGAGGATGACACGCATAAATCGAGAAATGGTCCAAAAAAAAAAAAAAAAAAGCAACTGGCCGTGGCATATGGGACAGGACACGTTCGCGACTTTCTCCCTGTCAGAATTTGCGCTCTTTTTTTTTGTTTTTTTTCCTAATGAATTTGCGCTCTTGTGCATGTGACACACGAAGAGGGAGTGAAATAAAATAAAATAAAATCAATTTAGCAAGTGTAAAAAGGGAAAACAAACCTAAAAAAGGGGGGCTCCCCGCAGGCACTTGGCACTTGATGTATACTGTGGGAATGTAGTCTTGGTACATCCAAATTCTGTGAAGCGCCATCCGAGTTTGCCTTGTGATTACGTAGTGGTCGTCCTATTCAACTTTTTTTGGACTTTTTTTTCCCCGTAAACTCTTAGGAAAAAAAAAAAAAAAAAGCAGCATTTGTGCTCACCCCTTGAGGTGGACGCAAATTGCGCACCCCCGCTCGGTCAGGCAGGCTGGACATTTTGCGCACCCGTTTGCGTCATTTGCTATCAGAGCCCTCACCGTGTGACCCCGCACTATCGCATAATCTGTGATTTTTTTGATTTTTGTGATATTTGTGTCCAGTGGGAGTATGCCCTAAGTCCCCCCGCCATGTCGTGTGGAACAGAGCGACGGTGAAATCACGCCCCAAAACGACATGTCATGTCGTGCTTGCTATCAACAAAGGAACTGACCGGCCTTAAATATTTCAGACTGGCCTAAATATATTGTCTACCGCGTGGGCGCGGGGTAGGCATCCCTAAAGTAGCCAAAGCAATGAGACTAAGAGCGCGCACGAGAGAGAGAGAGAGAGAGAGAGAGAGAGAGAGAGAGAGAGAGAGAGAGAGAGAGAGAGAGATTCGTGCTGGGTATCAACCGAGGAACTGACCGGCCTTAGGTATTTCAGACTGGCCTTAAAATATTGTCTACCGCGTGGGCGCGGGGAACGCATCCCTAAGGTAGCCAATGCAATGGGACTAAGAGCGCGCACGAGAGAGAGAGAGAGAGAGAGAGAGAGAGAGAGAGAGAGAGAGAGAGAGAGAGAGAGAGAGAGAGAGAGAGAGAGAGATTCGTGCTTGGTATCAACAAGGAACTGACCGGGCTTAGGTGTTTCAGACTGGCCCGTTTGCTTCCAGTGCAGTTCGTACTCAGCACCTGGTCTGTTTTTCTGTCAACAGTTCAGTTCAGGTGTGTAACGACTGATCCAGGCGAGCCGGTACAGCGATAGGAGTCTCGTTTGTTCTTTTTCGCTTCTTTGCCTCCTTTCCTTTCTCCCTCCTGTGTGAGGGGGCCCGCATTCTATTGGATCTTCTCTACCCCATCCATGCCAGGGGTGGGAGCTTGTCTAAGAACAAATAGGTGTGTGGCTGAATGTTACACATACGTGGAGGTGTCTCTATTGTTTTTTTTGTTTTTTTTGTTTTTTGTTTTTGTTAAGACAGTATCTCTATTGTCGACGGAGCGTGATTTTTCGAGTCCTCAGACGAATGCTAAAATGTTCTTGTCGGTGTATCTTTCCATGTTCTTGCGGAAGATTCATTCTCTGAATCGTACAACACAACACCCATGTAGCCACGTCTACAAAAAGAAGCCGGTGTATGTTTCCATGTTCTTGCCGAAGATTCATTCTCATTCTGCATGTGATGAACAGCCTGAGTTCGAATCCTGACGATGGGATAAAAATGACTCTGAATTAGCCTGGCCTGGCAGCTGTACGGGCCTCTCGCTCCGCTACTGAGCAAATCTGCAGAATGAGAATGAATCTTCCGCAAGAACATGGAAAGATACACTGGCTTCTTTTTGTCTTTTGTGCATGTGGTGAGTCGTGGAGCAAAGGGCCTATGCTACAGTACTACGTCGAGACCGACGGCGTTAAAAAAAAGAAAATGGTGGGGGCATCCTCCCTTCCCCTTCACCCAAAAAAAGGATGAGAGCGACGGCTGGTCACTGTCTGCTGCACATCTTTTCCCTCACCTCATGGTGCCCACCTACTGCCTACCTGTCAAGGTGAAATCCTTCTTTTTTTTTTTTTTTTTAATGCCGGGAAAACCAGGATTGACTCGTCTTATCCATAGGCCTGCCTGTCATCTTGACTAGAGTTAGGGCATACTCACACTACTACGTTTTTACGTAATTTTTGGACGGAACTGTGGCCAGATACATCCAGGTATGGCGTGAATGCGGTCAGATACATTTGAGATACTGCTAGTGTGAGTACGCCCTTAGTTTCGGTACCGGGTTCGGCGGCTGATATTTCAGAATGTATGTGCGCTGTTGCTACCTTGCAGGGATAGATCCTTGTGTGTGGGTCTATAGACCTGTGGGAGGGATAGATTCTTGTGTGTGGGTCTATAGACCTGTGGGTCATCATTTCACTAAACCCCCAAGGGTTTGTACCTGGGGTTAGGTAGGGTACCAAGTTTGCTCAGTGGCCGATATTTGACAATCTCTGTGCAGTTTCCTACTGTACTGGGATCGATCCTGGTGTGATCTATGGACCTGTGTGGGTTATGGGATCGATCCTGGTGTGATCTATGGACCTGTGTGGGTTATCTTCAGTACCGTCTTCATCCGAATAGAACGCCCGGTCATTGTCACTGTATCTAGACGGGAAGCTCCGCCAGAAACAGCTATAATGACCGGCGGGTGGTCTATTCGGGTTAACACGGTAGATCTAAGGTTGGGCACCAGGGAGGGGAGGGGTTAGCGGTACCGAGTTTGGGGTCGCTGATATTTCAAAATAGCTGTGAGGTGTCCTACCTGTCTCGGGACGATCGAGCACCATAATCAATGGGGATCAAGGGAGGCGTTATGAGGTCAGCGCAACATCTGCATCATGTCGTGTTGATTATGGCATTTCGGTTTTCTTTTTGTCCTTCCATTCGCGGTTCTCATGCTGGAGAAGAAAAAGGGTGTTTACGTTTTTAAGCTTTTTCGTTGTGTATTTATGTTTCACATTGCACGGCCGGGAGAGAGTCTTGGCATCGTTAAGAATCTACTCCCTTGCATATCACTCAGTAATGTTCGATGTAAAGAAGACAACAACGATTTCGCACTCTGCGCATTCGGTCACTTGCAGACTGGTGTGTGTGTGTGTTGTGCGTGTGTGTGTGTGTGTGCGTGTGTGTGTGTGCGTGTGTGTGTGCGTGTGTGTGTGTGTGTGTGCGTGTGTGTGTGTGTGTGTGTG